ATTTTTCTTCCATGTGGGGTGTCACTACCTGGTGAGTGCACAGAGGTGAAGGCTTTCACGGAAGAAGGTGTCACTACCGGATTGCTGTCACTCATTCATACATCTATTTTAAGCTATTGAACTTTTTTTCTTTCACACAAACTGTTTCCCTGTTGATTTGGCACTTTTCACTTGATTTGGTGTTCATTTATATGTGCATGTTTATATATGCAAGATTGTAAGCATGTAATGCCTGATGGCTTTATGTTGTTTGAGTATTTTTTTTCTCGTATCTAGATTATTTACATTATTTTGGAACATAATTTTATAGAAATATTTATTTTTATTTTAGTTGTCTATAGCACTGCACGGCGTGTGTTATTTAGTATTGGGTTGGTCACCTTTTAGCGCTAGCAGCTCTCTAATCTGCAAGCGCTCGCTACACCCCTCTTGTTTTGTATGTATGATCTTTTTTCCCCATTGAGATCTGATGTGTTTTCAAAGTGTTCCTTTTTTTAATTTCTTTGAGCAGTGTATTTCAGCTCCACCCCAGCGATGGGCCACCAGCTGTCCAGCCAGGGGGCGATCAACAAACTTCCCGAGAAGGTTGCCAAGCATGTGACCCTGGTGCGTGAGAGTGGCTTCCTGACGTACGAGGAGTTCCTGGGGCGAGTCGCTGAGCTCAACGATGTGTAAGAGCACGCTATATATCCGTCAGTGCCTGCGCTACATACATGACCCCTACATGAGGGAACGGCGAGTCCAGTCCACGCTAGGAAGTCTGAAAGGAAAGCTTTGTTCATGAAGGATAGAATTGCCGAATCAGCCTTTCTGTCATTTCATGGCTTTTCCATATCGGTCTGCCGTCCTCTATAGCTGCCTGAGAAATTGTAATGTCTCCGACTAGCAACCATGGCAATAGTATGCATGCTTGTGAACAATAATTATCCTCATTTTTCATCATACTATGTTTAATCACGTGACAACTGGCATACTACATCGTCTTCCTGTCCGCGGTATTGTTTAGTTTCTAGTGCTGTGATACTTTGGCTGGCAATTACTCTGTCATTTTATTTATTTATTTCAGGTACTTATATAGCGCCATCAATGTACACAGCACTTTACATATATATTGTACATTCACATCAGTCCCCAACCCCCAACCTGGTGGTCCAGGGCTCTTAAAACCTCCTACTTTTAAAAATATACCCCACAATAATTGGGTGGTCCAGGGCACTTTAAACCCCCCCTTTCCATCTCAACCATTGGTGGTCAGTGGTACTTTAGACCCCCCCCCTCTTTTCATCCCAACCATTGGTTGTCAGTGGTATTTTAGATCCCCCCCTTCCATCCCAACCATTGGTGGTCAGTGGTACTTTAGACCCCCCCCCCTTTCCATCCCAACCATTGGTGGTCATTGGTACTTTAGACCCCCCCCCTTTCCATCCCAACCATTGGTGGTCATTGGTACTTTAGACCCCCCCCCCCTTTCCATCCCAACCATTGGTGGGTCAGTGGTACTTTAGACCCCCCCCCCTCTTTTCATCCCAACCATTGATTGTCAGTGGTATTTTAGATCCCCCCTTTTCATCCCAACCATTGGTGGTCAGTGGTACTTTAGACCCCCCCCCCCCCTTTCCATCCCAACCATTGGTGGTCATTGGTACTTTAGACCCCCCCCCCCTTTCCATCCCAACCATTGGTGGTCATTGGTACTTTAGACCCCCCCCCCCTTTCCATCCCAACCATTGGTGGTCAGTGGTACTTTAGACCCCCCCCCTCTTTTCATCCCAACCATTGGTTGTCAGTGGTACTTTAGATCCCCCCCTTCCATCCCAACCATTGGTGGTCAGTGGTACTTTAGACCCCCCCCCCTTTCCATCCCAACCATTGGTGGTCATTGGTACTTTAGACCCCCCCCCCTTTCCATCCCAAACATTGGTGGTCAGTGGTACTTTAGACCCCCCCCCCCTTTCCATCCCAACCATTGGTGGTCAGTGGTACTTTAGATCCCCCCCTTTCCATCCCAAACATTGGTGGTCAGTGGTACTTTAGAAGCACCCCCCCTTCCATCCCAACCATTGGTGGTCAGTGGTACTTTAGACCCCCCCCCTTCCATCCCCACCATTGGTGGTCATTGGTACTTTAGACCCCCCCCTTTCCATCCCAAACATTGGTGGTCAGTGGTACTTTAGACCCCCCCCCTTTCCATCCCAACCATTGGTGGTCAGTGGTACTTTAGATCCCCCCTTTCCATCCCAACCATTGGTGGTCAGTGGTACTTTAGAACCACCCCCCCCCTTCCATCCCAACCATTGGTGGTCAGTGGTACTTTAGACCACCCCCCCTTCCACCCCCACCATTGGTGGTCAGTGGTACTTTAGACCCCCCCCCCCTTTTCATCCCAGCCATTGGTGGTCAGTGGTACTTTAGACCCCCCCTCTTTTCCATCCTAACCATTGGTGGTCAGTGGTACTTTAGACCCCCCACCTATAAAAAAATTACCCCACGAGTATTGGTGGTCCAAGGCACTTTTTCTTTTGTTTTGTATTGGTATGACACAAAAAAAGTGGGGAAACAGAAGCCAAATCTGACACATTCCATGCAAGCCCCCCAAAATGGACTGGACAAAATTATTGGCACCCTCCATGTAATATTCGGTAGCACAACCCTTGGAAAAAAATAACTGAAATCAATGGCTTCCTGTGACCATCAATGAGTTTCTTCCACCTCTACTGGAATTTTGGATCGCTCTTCTTCCTCCAACTGCTCCAGGTCTCTCAGATTGGAAGGGTTCCTTTTCCCAACTGCTGTTCTGAGGTCTCTCCACAGGAGCTCTATGGGATGGAGATCTGGACTCATTGCTGGCCAGTTCAGTCCTCTCCGGCGCTTTGTCTGAAACCATTTCTGGGGGCTTTTTGACGTGTGCTTTGGGTCATTGTCCTGCTGGAAGACCCATGACCTCAGATGAAGACCCAACTTTCTGACACCGGGCCCTACATAGCACCCCAGAATTCTTTGGTAGTCTTTAGATTCTATAATGTCATGCACACGGTCAAGACATCCAATGCCTGAAGCAGCAAAGCAACCCCAAACCATCAGTGACCCCCCAACCATGTGTGACTGGAGGGACTGTATTCTTTTCCTAAAGGCCTCATTGCGTTTTCTTAAAACAGCAGAATGATGGGCTTCACCAAAAACATGGAATTTTGTTTCGTCTGTCCACAGCATCCCAAAAGGATATTGGCTTGCTCAGGTATGTTTTGGCAAGCTCCAATCTTTATGTTTCTGTGTCAGCAGTGGGGTCCTCCTGGGTCATCTACCATATTTCTGTGTCAGTAGTTGGGTCCTCCTGGGTCTCCTCCCATATTTCTGTGTCAGCAGGGGGGTCCTCCTGGGTCTCCTCCTATTTCTGTGTCAGCGGTAGGGTCCTCCTGGGTCTCCTCCCATATTTCTGTGTCAGCGGTGAGGTCCTCCTGGGTCTCCTACCATATTTCTGTGTCAGCAGTGGGGTCCTCCTGGGTCTCCCACCATGTTTCTGTGTCAGCAGTGGGGTCCTCCTGGGTCTCTTACCATATTTCTGTGTCAGCAGTTGGGTCTTCCTGGGTCATCTTCCATATTTCTGTGTCAGCAGTGGGGTCCTCCTGGGACTCCTACCATATTTCTGTGTCAGCAGTTGGGTCCTCCTGGGTCTCCTACCATATTTCTGTGTCAGCAGTGGGGTCCTCCTAGGTCTCCTACCATATTTCTGTGTCAGCAGTTGGGTCCTCCTGGGTCTCCTCCCATATTTCTGTGACAGCAGTAGATCCTCCTGGGTCTCCTTCCATATTTCTGTGACAGCAGTGGGGTCCTCCTGGGTCTCGTACCAGTGCCTGAAGGTCAGCTGAATTTGTCTGCAAGTTGAAGAGGTTCTTTATCCACCATTCCAGCAATACTTCATTGCAATCTTTGATAAATTTTTCTCTTTTGTCCAGGGAGATTAGCTACAGTGCCATGGGCTGTAAACTTCTTGACATTGTTGTGCACAGTGGACACAGGAACATTAAGATCTGTTAATTGATACAGGCGAGTTTAATTACAAATTACAGGAGCATCACAAACTTGGAATTATTTCTTACAATTTTGAGAAGGTGCCAATAATTTTTATCCATTCTACTTTTGGGGTTTTGCATGGAATGTGTCAGATTTGGCTTTTAGTTTCTCCACTTTTTTGTGTCCTACCAATACAAACAAAAGAAATGAGAATCCCTAAATATTTGTAATTGCAACAATTTTCTGGGTGAAAGGTGCGTTATCTGACAGAAACGTAGGGGTGCCAATCAGGGGTGGACTGACAACTCATGGGGCCCCCGGGCAATAGAGGATCACGGGGCCCGTGTCCTCGCCCACACTCAAACCACACCCAAAAAAGCCTATGAAAGGTACCAGGGGCATCTTATGGGACCCCCTACTGACCCTGGGTCCTTGGGCAGTGCCAGAGTTCCCAAATGGTCAGTCCGCCCCTGGTGCCAATATATTTGGCCATGACTGTAGGGTGACAATGTGTTCTGTCTCTCTATCCATTTGTGCTCCTGCGTTGTCACCCTGTTACATGGGCTTCTAACGAAGGCTGCCAGTGACCATTTCAGCAGATAGTACACGGGCAAAGTTCACTGTTGTTACTTGCCCTGAGAAATGCCATGCAGCCAATACTGGCGAGCATGTAGTCATGCAGGGGTAGCAAAAAGGCTGCAGAAGATAGGCAGCACTTGAGATGTGACCAAGGATGAATAAGTGATGAAAAATTATTTTATGTTGGGAGAAAAAAAACCACGGTAAATTGTTAGACACCGTATGTAGTAGAGTCTCCTAATCTGCCACACATAGCTGACCTCAGGCTGCAGTTGTGTGTTTGGTTTCAGAGTCCACTCCATGCATCCTCTCATTCCTGATCACATGAGAGCCGAGTGGCTGGGGAGAGGTGTACTCCCCCGAGTCATGCGGTGTGACGTCACACCCTCGCTATGTACACATCAAACACCAGCTGTTTGCGCTAACGAAGGCCGGACCGTCTAATCCATTACCTGCACTGAGAGGAAACCTGAAATTCAGCTTCAGTTCAGTGTCTGAATGTCCTTTTAAATTGAAGAACTGTATTGTAGCTAATGAAGCTCAATCCTTGCATCACATTCTATCTGTCACACTGCAGCGGGCTGTAGATTTATTAAGACGCAATGTTTTACATGATGAAAATGTAGCGCTTTTTTTTTTTTTTTTTAACTAGTTCAGCTCTCATCCTGTACACCTCCTATGGACCGTAGCAATTTCTTTTTTTTTTTTTTTTTACAGCTCTCTGTAATTTATCGATACTTAAGATAAAAGTAATACTTATACAGTATATGTTTTGTGTGTGTTTATATTTATTATTTATGAAGGGGACAGTGTATGACCAGTATGATGGAGAGGTTAGTTTGTGACCAGTAGGACGGAGAGGATAGTTTGTGACCAGTAGGACGGAGAGGATAGTTTGTGACCAGTAGGACGGAGAGGATAGTTTGTGGCCAGTACGACGGAGAGGATAGTTTGTGACCAGTATGATGGAGAGGGTAGTTTGTGACCAGTATGATGGAGAGGTTAGTTTGTGACCAGTAGGATGGAGAGGATAGTTTGTGACCAGTAGGACGGAGAGGATAGTTTGTGACCAGTAGGACGGAGAGGATAGTTTGTGACCAGTAGGACGGAGAGGATAGTTTGTGACCAGTAGGACGGAGAGAATAGTTTGTGACCAGTAGGACGGAGAGGATTTGTGACCAGTAGGACGGAGAGGATAGTTGTGACCAGTAGGACGGAGAGGATAGTTTTGTGACCAGTAGGACGGAGAGGATAGTTTGTGTATGACAGTAGGACGGAGAGGATAGTTTGTGACCAGTAGGAGAGGATAGTTTGTGGCCAGTAGGACGGAGTGACGGCGTGTGACCAGTAGGATTGAGAGGACGGTGCGTGACCAGTATGACGGAGAGGATAGTTTGTGACCAGTATGGCGGAGAGGATAGTTTGTGACCAGTATGACGAAGAGGATAGTTTGTGACCAGTATGACGGAGAGGATAGTTTGTGACCAGTATGATGGAGAGGATAGTTTGTGACCAGTATGACGGAGAGGATAGTTTGTGACCAGTATGACGGAGAGGATAGTTTGTGACCAGTAGGACGGAGAGGATAGTTTGTGACCAGTAGGACGGAGAGGATAGTTTGTGACCAGTAGGACGGAGAGGGTAGTTTGTGACCAGTAGGACGGAGAGGGTAGTTTGTGACCAGTAGGACGGAGAGGGTAGTTTTGTGACCAGTAGGACGGAGAGGAAGGCGCATGACCAGTAGGACGGAGAGGATAGTTTGTGACCAGTATGACGGAGAGGATAGTTTGTGACCAGTATGACGGAGAGGGTAGTTTGTGACCAGTAGGACGGAGAGGACAGCGCGTGACCAGTAGGATTGAGAGGACGGTGCGTGACCAGTATGACGGAGAGGATAGTTTGTGACCAGTATGGCGGAGAGGATAGTTTGTGACCAATATGACGAAGAGGATAGTTTGTGACCAGTATGACGGAGAGGACAGTTTGTGACCAGTATGACGGAGAGGACAGTTTGTGACCAGTATGACGGAGAGGATAGTTTGTGACCAGTATGATGGAGAGGATAGTTTGTGACCAGTATGACGGAGAGGATAGTTTGTGACCAGTATGACGGAGAGGATAGTTTTGTGACCAGTAGGACGGAGAGGATAGTTTGTGACCAGTATGACGGAGAGGGTAGTTTTGTGACCAGTAGGACGGAGAGGATAGTTTGTGACCAGTAGGACGGAGAGGAAGGCGCGTGACCAGTAGGACGGAGAGGAAGGCGCGTGACCAGTAGGACGGAGGAGGAAGGCGCATGACCAGTAGGACGGGGGGATATAGTTTGAGGACGGCGCGTGAGCAGGAGGGACGGGGAGGGGGGGAGGAATGGCTCGTGACCTGGAGGGACGGGGAGGAAGGCCAGTGACTAGGAGGCCGGCGTGGGGCTAGGTGGACGGGGAGGAGGGCACGGGGCCAGGTGGATGGGGAGTTCAGTGCGGGGCCAGGACAATGGGGAGGACGGCGCAGGGCCAGTGTGATGAGGATAGTGTGTGGACCAGTGGGATGAGGACAGTATTATAAGGACAATGTGTTTATCTGAGGGATTCCTCTGTGATGACTCCATTATTTAATTTCCTTTGTCTCAGGACGGCGAAGTTGGCATCGGGACAGGACAAACATCTCCTGTTTGAAGTGCAGCCAGGATCGGACACGTCTGCTCTGTGGAAAGTCGTCGTTCGTGTTTTGTGTACGAAGGTGAGTGCTGCTCTGTGTCGAATATTCCGTGGTATACGGTTACCTGGTACTTGTTCATCCAATAATACTTAAAGTGATGCTAAACACACATGGTTAATATACATTCTCCCTTCTCTTCCTGTATGTGGATGGTGACTCCGTAACTATTTTAATAAATAAAAATCGAGGTACCTTTTTTTCCTAATCGATATACAACCAGCTCTTTCCCAGCTTGTCTGCAGGGAAACAGTGGCAGGAGGAGCTTCAAGTCCTCTGCTGCCGGTCACATTAGCTGCTGGTTCAAAATAAAAAAGCAACTTTTGGGATACGGAGCAAAAATAAATAATTTATTTCAATAAACTTTTACATTTATGATACAAATATATGTTTGAGACATCCTCGCCGCCAGGACTCCTGTGCCACAACTGGGTGCAATTGCAGCCTGGCTCCATTCACTTGAATAGGTTGCATTCGGTTTGGCGGTAGTCCCTGCTGAATGCGACAGGATTTATAATTCTTTCTGTGACCTTAAAGCATTGCGGTTGTGGGATGTGTACCCCAGTTACTACTTTTTCAGCACAAGGGGAAGTAGTTGAGGGGAAATAAAAATGCTGCTCAGCTGCAGTTTCTGAAATTGTTACACAGACTCAGGAATTGGGAGAGTGCTAATGACATGGGGTTACACCCAGGGGCGGACTGACCATTGGAGCACTCGGGCACAGCCTGAGGGCTCGGAGTCAGAAGGGGGCCCCATGAGATGCCCCTGGTACCTTTCATAGGATTTTTTGGGTGTTGGTGAGGACACAGGGGCCCCATGATCCCCTATTGCCCGGGAGCCCCATGAGTTGTCAGTTCGCCCCTGGTTACACCCTAGGTATGGCCCTTTCCTGGATTTCAGCTTCTTCGAGGTAAATACGGGGTGATTTTTCATGCAAAATCTTTATAGGTAATCAAATGTATCAATCTGTGACTCTTAGGCTATGTTTGCACTAGCCACTAGCGTTTTTACCGCTTCCCAAACACCTCGGACAATTCTGCCCATTGCAGCACATGGTTCTGTTCTAACGGGAGCGGTAGCGCGGCAAAACGGACGCCTCTGGTCGAGTCAGGAGGCGTTGAAGCCTCCTATTCTAGTCTATGGTGCCGCTCCACAAACGCCCGGCCGGTGTTTGCAGTGCGGTTGTGGGGGCGTTTGCGGAGTGGTAACACCATCCAAACTTTGTTATAGGCGTTTGTGGGGCGTTTTTAACGTTTGGCAACTGCCGCTGAACCGCGCATGCGGCGTTTGCAGAGCGTTTGCCGAGAGTTAAAAAAGGCTCCGCAAACGCCGGACCAACGCTTGCCAAACGCTATAGGGGCGTTTGGCAAGAGTTGGTAAAACAGTCAAGTGTGAACGAGCCCTTAGGGGTGGATTTACTAAGGGCAAATAGACTGTGGACTTTGCAAAGTGCAGTTTCTCCAGAGCTTAGTAACGGAGGTACAGCTTCACTTTGGAAGGAATATTCAATCACATGCAAGGAAAAGTTAGAAAAAAAACAGAATTTTTGCTTGCACATGATTGGATGATGGAAGTCAGCAGAGCTTCTGCTCATTTACTAAGTTCTGGAGCAACTGCACTTGCAAAGTGCACCGTCTATTTGCCTTTAGTAAAATCAATCCCATTGTCTCTGAATACACGGAAAGTGATTCGTGTCGCTTTCTTTATTCCAGATTAATAAAACCAGCGGCATTGTGGAAGTGTCCCGGATTATGAACCTCTACCAGTTCATCCAGCTCTACAAGGACATCACCAGTCATGCGGACAGCGTCTTCACCCAGAGCAGCACGGACGCCGAGGAGGACCCCGAAAACCTCTCGTCTGTGTCTTCCTGCCAAGCCAGCATCCTGATGGGGAAGTACGTAGACTTGTTTCCCACCCTTACCTTTCTCCTCCATTTTACCAAGGTGATCTTGCACATCCCAATCTGAAATTGATCTCGAGGTACAAACAATTGCAAAACAAGCCAATGGACCAACGCAACACACAGAGGGGTTGATTTACTAAAACTGGGGCACTCAGAATCTGGTGCAGCTGTGCATGGCGGCCAATCAGCTTCTAACTTCAGCTTGTTCAATTAATCTTTGACAATAAAACCTGAAGCTGATTGGTTTACTAAAGGCAAATAGAATGTGCACTTTGCAAAGTGCAGTTGCTCCAGAGCTTAGTAAGTTACATAGTGTGATGGGAGTAGCTTTTGGGGGTGGGGAGACCCCTGTTGTTCCCCTTATCTGTAACCCACCATGTGCCTGTTAGGGGTACAGGGTGGTCTGTCCTGATATGGTGTAGACATGTTTAGGTGGGGTGGGGGTTGTCCCATTGTTCACTGCCACCTGGTTGTTCCATTGTTCATTGTTCTCTGCCATGCGGCTGCATCCCATTGTTCTAGCAAACTATTATGGGATGTAATTTTTGTGTATTGGTGTGGGGGTTGGCCATTGTTCACTGCCATGTGCTGCATCCCACTGTTCTGTGTCTTGGTTTGGTGGGGGGTGTTTCCGGCAGCCCTTCCCCCTGATGGGAGGGCCTGGTGATGTGTTTCCTGTTCCTGGTTGTATTTCCCTGCCCTGTGTATATATCTTGTGTTTGTGTTAAAATAAAGCAGTTGACTTCCTGTCTCAAGAGAGTCTGGTGCTATCTATTTCCTGCATGATCACCGGTGGGGTCCGTGGATGGTGTTCGGACGGGGAAGCGAGAATATAACAGAAATACCCTAGCTCAGTCCGGGTCCGTTACAGTTAGTCTGGCTAAAAAAAGACAAATGTCCATCCAGTTCAACCATAAAAAGTAAAAAAAGTTATAATCCTACACCCACAGTTGATCCAGAGGAAGGTAAAAAAACCCAGCAAAGCACGATCCAATTTGCTCCTGCAGGGGAAAAAATCCTTCCTGATCCCCCGAGAGGCAATCAGATATTCCCTGGACCACCTTTACCTATAAATGTTAGTAACCAAAAGTTAATTGAGGTACAACTTCCCTTTGTCAATAATACCCAATCACATGTAAGGAAAATAAAATAAAAAAACAAACAGCATTTTTGCTTGCACATGATTGGATGATGGAAGTCAGCAGAGCTTCTGCTCATTTACTAAACTCTGGAGCAACTGTACTTGCAAAGTGCACCGTCTAATTGTCTTTAGTAAATCCGCCCCTATAGTATTGTCCTGCACTTTGCAGTCAAGTAAAATATTGATTAAAAGTGGCTATATGAACGGACTGATCAATCATACTTTTAATCAATATTTTACTTGACTGCAAAGTGCAGGACAATACTACAGGGGTGGATTTACTAAAGGCAATTAGACTGTGCACTTTGCAAGTACAGTTGCTCCAGAGTTTAGTAAATGAGCAGAAGCTCTGCTGACTTCCATCATCCAATCATGTGCAAGCAAAAATGCTGGTTTGTTTTTTTTGTTTGTTTTTGGTTTTGTTTTTTTTTGGTTTTGTTTTTTTGGTTTTGTTTTTTTGGTTTTGTTTTTTTTCGTTTTTTTTTTTCGTTTTGTTTTTTTTTTTTTTCGTTTTGTTTTTTTTCGTTTTGTTTTTTTTTTTTTTTTTTCGTTTTGTTTTTTGTTTTTGTATTTTTTTTGGGGGGGGGTTGTTTTTTTTTTAATAATTTTCCTTGCATGTGATTGTGTATTCTTGGCAAAGGGAAGCTTTACCTGATTTACTAAGCTCTGGAGCAACTGCATTTGCAGAGTGCACCGCCTATTGGCCTTTGCAGTCAAGTAAAATATTGATTAAAAGTATGATTGATCAGTCCGTTCATATAACCAATCTGTTTTGTGATTGACTCTGTAGCACACCCAGATATTTGTTAAAACAGGCATCACACTTTGACCGTGTGGACCCTGCCGGCCCTCCCACCAGCTATAATCTGCCTGCATTGCTTAGAGAAGTAGAGGGATCCAGTTATGACATCATTGGGTATAAATGATGTCATTTGTATGTGGGAGGGAACCAGGGAAGGCAAAATATAAGCAGATTAAACGTCAGCTTTATTGTGATATTAGACATGAAATCCTTCCTGCCTCACTGTGTTAGCTGCAGACTGATGAAGCCATCATCTGAACAACAATTTTGGATTTTTTTTTGGGGGGGGGGGGGGGGGGGGGGGGGAATCCTAAATTAGTGTAGGTGCTGCCTCCATGTCCCTGTCTGCATCTTCCTGTAAACACAGCTGTGTGCAGAGTACAGCACATGTCCCTCCTGGACTCAGCCTGTGTACAGGGAAGCGCGCCCCCCCCCCCCCCCCCCCCCCCCCCCCCCGGGGCTGCCCTGTCCTCTCTGTGTTTATATTGGATGGTATCAGAGTGCAGGACAGAGGGGGGGTCTGGAGAGGGATAACCATCTCATCCCGCAGTTTCCAGCCAATGACAGCTAATCTGTCACTTCCATCTAAATCGAGGAAAAAGAGCCAAAAGGAAACCAATTCGGCCCGGAGCCAAGCTCCGCATATTTACACAGCATCCATGGGAGAGTGTTCTTTACAAGAGCTTTTTCCTGGCAGCCGTGAACCTGAAACCACTAGAGCTGTTCCTCTCTAATACCACAAACATCACTGAAGCAGACAGACGTTGGTCTGCTGAAGTTTCTGGAAAGCGCACAGGCTAGTTTATTGGAATTTTTTTTTTTTTTCCCCCCCCCTATCATCCAGGGTCATTATCTGCTTCCTGGGTTTATATGCCGGCTCAGAGATGACCGAGTCACGTAAATTCTCATAGCTCCTGGCTGTGTTCACAAATGACTGACACAGGTCAGCCCCTGTTGCTGTCTTTCACCTTGTGACTTGCCGCAATGTTACAGTGTTGCAACTGTGTCACTAAGGCAGGCCATAGACGGGCCGTTTATCGGCCGATATAAAATAAACGAAAAAATCGGTCGGCGCCGTTGCGGATGCTGCCACCATCGTCCGCGAAAAAACAGTAGTTTTTTTGTGGATTTTCCAGCATGACCGATAAAAGTAAACGAGACGATCCACGAAAAACGGCCGACTGGCGGGCCCCACTAACGGAGTGAATATTGGCCGATTTTTCGTGCAGATGAAAAATCGGCCGATAAAACGACCCGTCTATTGCCTGTATAAGGGGAGAGGAGACTGAGGAAGCGCTTCCTTCTGCATGCAGCAGGCTGAGGACATCATCTCAGTGAGAAGACAAAGGAAGGTTTTTATTAGTTTATTTATTTCAGGTACTTATATAGCGCCATCAATGTAAACAGCGCTTTACATATATATTGTACATTCATATCAGTCCCCGCCCCAAGGAGCGTACAATCTAAGGTCCCTAACTCACATTCATACATACACATACTAGGGACAATGTAGACAGGAGCCAATTCACCTACCAGCATGCCTTTGTAGTGTTGGAGGAAACCCACGCAGGCACAGGGAGAACATGCAAACTCCAGGCAGGTGGTGCCGTAGTTGGGATTTGAACCAACGACCCTAGTACTGCCAGGCGGAAGTGCTAACCATTTAGCCACTGTGCTGCCCACTCTTTTTAAATTCTAAATGTAATAATGGCAGAAGTGTGACGTCAGGAACGTATTTCTGCAGACTTGTAAAGTTACTGGCAGGTCCACTTTAAATAAGTCAAATTTATTAGCTATAGATTTAGGGCAGAGTCCGTGGACTCCGACCAAAGATGGCTTTTTAATGATACTGTTGCTCTATATTGTAACATGTCAGGAATTCACTCATGGAGACTTATAAACGCACTGAGAGGTCCGTTTAAGGTGCCAGCTCTGTGCCCCATGATGCCCTATTGCCCGGGGGCCCCATGAGTTGTCATCCTCCGCCCCTGGTGCTGTTATCGTCATCCTTGCTTTATCTCCTAAGCTGACCACACGTGCTACAGTCAGATGGCCCATTGTTGGAGTTAGCACCAGGTAAGTCTTATGGGCGCCTTACCTTATTAGATATTCTGTACGTTGCACATTTTTGTAGATGGGTGCATACACTGCATAGAAATTGGAGATTGTACAATCTGGCTGTTACATACTGTATATGGTCAGCCACTGTCCTGGAATGGAGGAGGAGGGGGCTTCTTATTATCCATGTGGGATGCAGTAGTAGGAAGGGAGCTTCCCGTGGACTGTATCGGATGCAGTGGTGGGGGAGGGCCCTGTTATGGTTCATTTGGCATCTTGTGTTATGACGGGCTTCCAGTGCTCCATGTGAGATGTGATGGTAGGAAGAAGGCTTCCTGTGGTCCATGTGGGAAGCAGTAGTAGCAAGGGGGCTGCCTGTGGTCCATGTGGGAGGGGACATTTCTGTGGTTTGTGTAGGATGCAGTGGTGGGAGTGGACTTCTTGTGGTCCATGTGGGATGCAGTGGTGGGAGTGGCCTTCCTGTGGTCCATGTGGGATGCATTGGTGGGAGTGGCCTTCCTGTGGTCCTGTGGTCCATGTGGGATGCATTGGTGGGAGTGGCCTTCCTGTGGTCCATGTGGAATGCAGTGGTATGAAGGCTGTATGTGGTCTATGTGGGATGCTGTGGTATTAAGGAGCTTTATGTGGGTAGGAGGGGACTTCCTGTTGTCCATGTGGGATGCGGTGGTGGGAGTGGCCTTCCTGTGGTCCATGTGGGATGCAGTGGTGGGAGTGAACTTCCTGTGGTCCATGTGGGATGCATTGGTGGGAGTGGCCTTCCTGTGGTCCATGTGGGATGCATTGGTGGGAGTGGCCATTCCTGTGGTCCATGTGGGATGCAGTGGTTGGAGTGGCCTTCCTGTGGTCCATGTGGGATGCAGTGGGGGGAGTGTCCTTCCTGTGGTCCATGTGGGATGCATTGGTGGGAGTGGCCTTCCTGTGGTCCATATGGGATGCAGTGGTGGGAGTGGCCTTCCTGTGGTCCATGTTGGGATGCAGTGGTGGAAGTGGCCTTCCTGTGGTCCATGTGGGATGCAGTGGTGGGAGTGGCCTTCCTGTGGTCCATGTGGGATGCATTGGTGGGAGTGGCCTTCCTGTGGTCCATGTGGAATGTAGTGGTATGAAGGCTGTATGTGGTCTATGTGGGATGCTGTGGGGTATTAAGGAGCTTTATGTGGGTAGGAGGGGACTTCCTGTTGTCCATGTTGGATGTGATGGTAGGAGGAGGATTCTTTTGGTTCAGGTGGAATGTGATAGTAGGAGGGGACTTCCTGTGGTTAAGGTGGGATGCGGTGGTAAGAAGGGGCTACCTTTGGTTCAGGTGGGATGTGGTGGTAGAAAGGGGCTGCCTGTGGTCCATGTGGTATGCAGTGGTAGGAAGGGGCTGCCTTTGGTTCAGGTGTAATGTGGTGGTAGGAAGGGGTCTGTCTTTGGTTCAGGTGGAAGGTCACAGTAGGAGGGGACTTCCTGTAGTTCATGTGGGGTATGCGGTGGTAGGAAGGGGGCTGCCTGTGGTCCATGTGGGATGCGGTGGTAGGAAGGGGCTGCCTGTGGTCCATGTGGGATGAGGTGGTAGGAATGCTCCATGTGGGATGCGGTGGTAGGAAGGGGCTGCCTGTGGTCCATGTGGGATGCGGTGGTAGGAAGGGCTGCCTTTGGTTCAGGTGGGATGTGATAGTAGGAGGGGACTTCCTGTGGTTCATGTGAGATGCGGTGGTAGGAATGGTCCATGTGGGATGCGGTGGTAGGAAGGGGCTGCCTTTGGTACAGGTGGGGATGTGGTGGTACTAAAGGGCTTCCTGTGGTTCAGGTGGGATGCGGTAGGATCTCGTGTTATGATGGGGCTTCCAGTGGTCCATGTGAGATGTGATGGTAGGAAGAAGGCTTCCTGTGGTACATGTGGGAAGCAGTGGTAGCAAGGGGGCTGTCTGTGATCCATGTGGGAAGGAAGGGGCTGCCTTTGGTTCAGGTGGGATTGGGTGGTACTAAAGGGCTTCCTGTGGTTCAGGTGGGAGGGAGCTGCCCGTGGTCACATCCTTTATTCCCTTCATCTCCCCATACAGCAGCCATGACTTATGCTGACATCTAATTATTCTGGATGTCGAGTTTGCTGGAGGAGCTCACTTTGTATATTGAGGTAGGTACTCACCTTGTTCACGGCAATATTTTGTACACACATTTGCAGCATGGTTGTGCAGATTATAGTTCAAGGCCCTGTATGCCGCCCTATGTCTATGCTTCCTGTTACGCTGAAATCGGTTGGTAGAGTTTGATGTGATCTGATGACCTGACTTTGCTCTTCCTTTGTGGCAGGGTGAAGCAACTTACAGACGAGGAGGAGTGCTGCATCTGCATGGACGGACGTGCTGACCTCATCCTGCCCTGCGCTCACAGCTTCTGCCAGAAATGTATTGACAAATGGTGAGGCGCCCTGTCATATGACCCACCATCATGGGCAAAATTCTTTTTTTTTTTTTTTTTTTTTTAAAGTCCGCAAACTTGCAACTATAACGAAAAACCCGTAAGTGTTCACAAAAAAAGTGCAAGTGCAAAACACCACACGAAAAAGTGCACTTAGGGGTGTGCTTTGTCCTTCCCCCCGAAGGGGATGGACCTCTACCCTGATCCCCCGGGGCACGAAGCTCCTGACAGGGACAAGGTTTGATCCACCTAAGCCAAAAGGCCTGGTGGACCACCATTCCTTGTGTCCAGCCGAAGCCAGACACCCAGTACTTGGTCAGGGGGCTCTCCCGAAGAGAAAACCCCCCTAGGGACAGGGGAGGAAGGAACCAAAAGGCCACACATCCTCCCCCTAGACTTCAGGGCAGGCCCGAGGACCCACACCCTCCATCCTGTGAGAAAAACACACACATAAGTAAAGAAAAAGTGACAAAACGTGGGAGGTGTAATAAATTAAATAAATAGAAAATAAAAAAGTGGTCGTGCCAAATAGTGCACAGACCAGGCCCTGAGGCCTGTAGCAAAAATTGCCCTGATCCTAGCCATAAGGCCTGGTCCTAAGGGCGCTGTGCAGAAAAAGTGGTAAAACAGTGACCATGTGCCATCTTCACACTGTGGGGGTCCCACACCCAGGTGTTACTAGTGGCACCCCTGAGGCGATTACTCAGGGGGCACTGGTTTGCGGACTCTCTGCCTTCCCGACCCCTGGCCAGACAAGGTAGATCCGTCCAAATCAGGAGGTACTGGGTCCTTCAGACGTTCCAAAGGGGAATTACTACCAGGCCCCAGCTACGTGTGGGGCCCGTCCGGGTTCCGTTCCCCCCGTAATAGCCATCCAGACCCCCATCATACCAGCAGGGGTACTATACAAACAGTCATCCCCGCAAAGCTAGAATGGCCGTGGAGCACCCCCACTGGACACTGATAAGAACAGATACTACACTTGATCTTAGCCAAAAGGCCGAGAAGTGCAAAATTCTTATCATATTATCATCATAGAGATTTGGGACTGTTTTTCGGCTCAGAGCAGAGATGACAGTTTGTTTTCTGACTCGATTATTTCAGCCGTACTGAGTTTTGTAATAATCCACACCGGATACATGTTCACAATTCTGCATGGGCCTATTGATTTGGCAAGAACTTTATTACTTAAGAAAACAAACTAATACAAATATCATTTTTAAGCACAAACAAGGTCTTATTTTGGTGATATTATCTTGCAAAAAAACCGAACTAATCTTAACCACTTGACCTCCTGAGGATTTACCCCCTTAATGACCACGCCTCTTTTTGCTACTCGGCGCTACACTAATTCAACTGATAATTGCGCGGTCATGCAATGCTGCACCCAAACGAAATTTACGTCCTTTTTTTCACACAAATAGAGCTTTCTTTCGGTGTAATTTGATCACCTGTGCGCTTTTTATTTTTCACGCTATAAACAAAAAAAGGCCAAAAATTTTGAAGAAAAACAATATTTTTTATTTTCAGCTATAAAAAAATATATAGTAAACTCAAAGTTGGTTATAAATTTAGGCCAAAATGTATTCTGCTCCATGTTTTTGGTAAAAAAAAATCCCAATAAGTGTATATTGATTGCTTTTTGTGGAAGTTATAGTGTCTACAAACTATGGTATAAATTTACGCCATTTTTTATTGCAATTTACGCCATTTTTTTGCTATACAGCGCTGCGCTAGTTTAATGGACAATTGCGCGGTCATGCAATATGGTACATAAATGAATTTACATCCTTTTTTTCCCCACAAATTGAGCTTTCTTTCGGTGGTATTTGATCACCTGTGCGGTTTTTATTTTTTGCGCTATAAAAAAAAAAAAGGCTGACAATTTTGAGGAAAAAAAATTTTTGCTATAAAACATGTCCAGTAAAAAAAAAATGCAAAAATCAAATTTAGTCATAAATTTCTGCCAAAATGCATTCTGCGACATGTCTTTGCTAAAAAAAAAAAAACAATACGTGTAAATTAATTGGTTTACGTGAAAGTTATAGCGTTTACAAATGGCGGGAAAGATACTGGGATTTTTAGGTTTTTTTTTTATACTACTAATGGGGGCGATCAGCGAATTATGGCGGCGATCAGGGACTTATGGCAGCGACCAGTGACTTATGGCGGGACTGCGGCGGACATTTTGACATTGGGGGGGTACTGACTTGGGGTCACTGACATCCCCAAAAACACTAATACAGTGATCAGTGCAAAAAAAAAAAAAAACTGACACTGTACTAATGGCACTGGGGAGGAAGGGGTTAACTTTATTTTGTAGGGAAGGGTTATAGGAATGAGGGGGAGTGTTTTACTAGGGGGCGGGGTGTGTACTGGGTGGGACAAGGCTGATCGAGAAAGAGAAACTCCTCTTTCTCGATCAGCTCATCCTCGAGCTGAGAAGGAAGTGACAGACAGAACAGCTACTACAGCTGTGCTCTCTGTCACTGATTGCCGCCGATCGCCAGGACATAGCCGCTAAGGAGCGGCTGTGACCCGGTGACTGACATCTGCGGCGGTGATCCACAGGACAAATAGGGCGGCGGCGCGCCTCGCGCGCGCCCCCTATTTGTTTACAAAACACACGTCTTAAAACGTGGTTTTGCCTGTGAGTGCCGCCCTGCCGCCGTATATGTACAGTGGCTGGGCGGCATGCGGTTAAAAATGTCCCCTCCCCCCTCCTAACACCTATGCTAACTAACCTGTGTAATAAAGATGTATATACTTGCCTGGTTTAACCTCGCTCTGGTCCAGTCTCATGATTTGGCTCCCCTGTGCCAGCTGCAGCTACAGGGAGAGGAGGAAGTGCTGACAATGGATGGGCTATGCGAGTCTGTGGGTGATGTCACCGTTCCCAGGCATTTCCAGCTGTTGACTGCTCTCTCCTCTCTCCTGTAGCCAGACTAGGTGGGCTTTAACCGGAATTCTACTTTAATATTACTTTCTACAGGCTATGCGCATATTTCTGTGTTGTCACTCTTTTATATAGATGCATTTGTCAGTTCCCCCTCCTAGGGGCTACATTCTTATCTCTCCTAAGCTGCAGGTGTATAACTACCAGTTTTGCACATTTCAAAGCAGTTGCAGTGTACTGGGTGACTACAAACCAAAACAAATGACAGTTCCCTGGCCTAACAACCCCCCCCCCCCCAAACAAAAATGACAGTTCCCTTTGACCTAACAAAACCTCCCCAAAAATGACAGTTCCCTTGGCCTAACAAACCCCCCCCCCTAAAATGACATTTCCTTTGGCCTAACAAAACCCTCCCAAAAATGACAGTTCTCTTGGCCTAACAACCCCCCCCCCCAAAAAAATGACCGTTCTCTTGGCCTAACAAAACCCCCAAAAATGACAGTTCCCTTTGGCCTGACAAAACAAAAAAAAATTACTGACAGTTCCCTTGGCCTAACAACCCCCCCCAAAAAAAAAAAACAGTTCCCGTGGCCTAACAAACCCCCCCCCCAAAAAAAAAAGTTACCGTTCCCTTGGCCTAACAACCCCCCCCCAAAAAAAAAGATAGTTCCCTTGGCCTTACAAACCTCTCCAAAAATGACAGTTCCCTTGGCCTAACAACAACAAAGAAAAATGACTAACAGTTCCCTTAGCCTAACAAAACCCCCAAAAATTACAGTTCCCGTGGCCTTGCGCCCCCCCCCCCCAAAAAAAAAAAGACAGTTCCCTTAGCCTAACAAAACCCCCAAAAATGACAATTCCCCCTAACAAAAAAAAAAAAAAAAGACAGTTCCCTTTGGCCTAAAAAAACCAAAAAAATTACAGTTCCCTTGGCCTAACAAAACCTAAAAAAAAATGGCTGTTCATTTGTCCTAACAGAACCTCAAAAAAATGACAGTTCCCTTGTCCTAACAGAACCTCAAAAAAAATGACAGTTCCCTTGTCCTAACAGAACCTCAAAACAATGACAGTTCCCTTGTCCTACCAGAACCTCAAAACAATGACAGTTCCCTTGTCCTACCAGAACCTCAAAACAATGACAGTTCCCTTGTCCTACCAGAACCTCAAAACAATGACAGTTCCCTTGTCCTACCAGAACCTCAAAACAATGACAGTTCCCTTGTCCTACCAGAACCTCAAAACAATGACAGTTCCCTTGTCCTACCAGAACCTCAAAACAATGACAGTTCCCTTGTCCTAACAGAACCTCAAAAAATGACAGTTCCCTTGTCCTAACAGAACCTCAAAAAAATGACAGTTCCCTTGTCCTAACAGAACCTCAAACAAATGACAGTTCCCTTGTCCTAACAGAACCTCAAAAAAATGACAGTTCCCTTGTCCTAACAGAACCTCAAAACAATGACAGTTCCCTTGTCCTAACCGAACCTCAAAACAATGACAGTTCCCTTGTCCTAACAGAACCTCAAAACAATGACAGTTCCCTTCTCCTAACAGAAAAGACAGTTCCCTTGTCCTAACAGAACCTCAAACAAATGACAGTTCCCTTGTCCTAACAGAACCTCAAAACAATGACAGTTCCCTTGTCCTAACCGAACCTCAAAACAATGACAGTTCCCTTGTCCTAACAGAACCTCAAAACAATGACAGTTCCCTTGTCCTAACAGAACCTCAAAAAAATGACAGTTCCCTTGTCCTAACAGAACCTCAAAACAAATGACAGTTCCCTTGTCCTAACAGAACCTCAAAAAAATGACAGTTCCCTTGTCCTAACAGAACCTCAAAACAATGACAGTTCCCTTGTCCTAACAGAACCTCAAAACAATGACAGTTCCCTTGTCCTAACAGAACCTCAAAACAATGACAGTTCCCTTGTCCTAACAGAACCTCAAAAAAATGACAGTTCCCTTGTCCTACCAGAACCTCAAAACAATGACAGTTCCCTTGGCCTAATAAACATATATTTCCTTAATTTTCTTCAACAGGAGCGATCGGAACCGCAACTGTCCAATCTGCCGCCTGCAGGTGACCGGAGCAAACGACTCCTGGGTGGTGTGTCTGATGCCCCGACTAAAGAGGACGTGGCCAACTACATACTGAACCTGGCAGATGAGGTCGGGCAGCCCAATGACAGTTTGTTCTGACCGTCGGCGGATTTGTGCATCTTTTTGCCGAGGCGAGTATTGAGCACTCCTTCTGTTCGGCATTTCCTACGTTAATGGCGTTCATCTTCGGGTGAATGGAGCACTCATTCAGACACAGCACAGACATTAACAGTCTAAGAAAACAAAAAAACAAATTCCTTGCCGTCTTCAAAAGCATCTCTGTTAATTTCATGCGGTGGGGCAAGAGACTTCTGACCTCAACAACATCGGTTGGAAAGACACCACTGCTATACTCAGACTTTGCGTGCGTGCGTGCGTGCGTGCGTGCGTTGGTGTGCGTTGTATGCGAGTATTTTGCCTATCCATGGTGAAGCTGACTGAAACAGAGGACGCAACCTCACCTGCTCACCTTGATGATGGATAATGAATGATGTCATTTAAAGGCCAACTCCACTGGGAACTGGTATGGCGTTTGAAGGGGGCAGGGTTGGACCGAATCTCCGGTCTGCTCTTCATATCTCTCATGTTCCAGTGTTGAGATTTCAGCGCAGTCCTTTGTGTCTCCGCCCCTTCTCACGGGCCCTTAATGACGGCGCCACCCTTTTATTGCATGTCGTGTATATAATATTGGATCCTATAGGACAGCGTGACGCCATCTTTTGACTTTGTAAAGCCTGGAAAAGTGGAGCTGGGAGATTTTCCTATGAGATATGGGCTTGCTTGCTGATAAGTTTTGGATGGAGGTGGCCTTACGTAGGTTTTTTTTTTTACCCAGAAATATACATTTAGTATTGCTGCTAGGTAGGGTGGATGTCCCAATAAATCACAGCATTGCCCTCAAGCGAGTGCAGCTCATATTGGCTGTGGAGGGCTACGATGCAGGTGGAAGAGAGTGATCTGGTATGTAGTTTGCCTGGTTGTCAGAGATTCTGCAGCTTAATGACTGATATCATGGCCTGCGCAGTGATATTGGTTGACCTTTGGCCCAACGCCACCCCTGCATAGGTTGGCAAGGTGGGATTGGCTCTCCTCTGGCGCACTTCTTTCCCATCAGGTACAGTGTAATTGGCTGACCATTGGCATTCCACCTTCCTGGTTTGACATCTACCATGCTACATCCCAGGCAGGCGCAGGGCTATTGGTTGACCTTTGGCCCAACGCCACCCCAGCATGGGTTGGCAAGGTGGGATTGGCTCTCCTCTGGCGCACTTCTTTCCCATCAGGTACAGTGTAATTGGCTGACCATTGGCACGCCACCTTCCTGGTTTGACATCTACCATGCTACATCCCAGGCAGGCGCAGGGCTATTGGTTGACCTTTGGCCCAACGCCACCCCAGCATGGGTTGGCAAGATGGGATTGGCTCTCTTTTGGCACACTGCTTTCCCATCAGGTACAGTGTAATTGGCTGACCATTGGCACCCCACCTTCCTGACTTGACATCTGGCATGCTACCTTCCTGGCTGGCACAGGGCTATTGGTTGACCTTTGGCCCAACCCCACCCCAGCATGGGTTGGCAAGGTGGGATTGGCTCTCCTTTGGCGCACTGCTTTCCCATCAGGTACAGTGTAATTGGCTGACCACTGGCACCCCACCTTCCTGGCTTGACATCTACAATGCTACCTCCCTGGCTGGCACAGGGCTATTGGTTGACCTTTGGCCCAGCGCCACCTCTGCATGGAGTGGCAAGGTGGGATTGGCTCTCCTTTGGTGCACTGCTTTCCCATCAGGTACAGTGTAATTGGCTGACCACTGGCACCCCACCTTCCTGGCTTGACATCTGGCATGCTACCTCCCTGGCTGGCGCAGGGCTATTGGTTGACCTTTGGCCCAACGCCACCTCTGCATGGGTTGGCAAGGTGGGATTGGCTCTCCTTTGGCGCACTGCTTTCTCATCAGGTACAGTGTAATTTGCTGACCATTGGCACCCCACCTTCCTGGCTTGACATCTGGCATGCTACCTCCCTGGCTGGCACAGGGCTATTGGCTGGCAACTGCCATACCGCTTTCCTGGCCAGCACAGTGCAGTTGTCAGATGTTTAGCACACCACCTCCCTGCCTCTAACCGTGCAATTGGCTGGTCTTTGGCCAATACAGTGCCGTTGGCTGATAGTCCCCTTCTGACTGGCCCAGTGCCATTGGCCAACAGCTGCCAGGACGATTCCCTACCTGGTACAGTAAGAGTGCCGGCTTGTCCCTGGCTCAACGCCTCCATACTTGGCACCATGAGATTGACTGACCACCACCTCTCTGGCCGTCAACGTTTCATTGGATGACCTTTCGTACACAACATTGAGTGCCAGTGCTGAGAAACGCCCTGTTGTTGTTGGGGCCCCCCTGTAGGACTGTGCAGGACCATCTGCAATCAGTTGACACTGATAACTTGCCCCATAGTATTTGGGCACCAAACATTTATATAGAAGAGGTTTGTTTTGGATCATGACCTTTTATAAGAGAAAATGTAATAACAACTAAGCTCAGTACTTCCCCTAACAAATGCATTTATCAGCATTTCTCTCCAGAAGAAAGGAGCCATCTTTGCTGAGGCATCATACAAGGTCAGCATTTACTTCCTGGACTGAGACGCTGGCTCACATGACACAATCATGTAAATCTTGAACAGCCTTCTTTTTGTGTGTACACATATTGTCTAACACAAATCAGCCCCAGCCGCATCCTGTGACTGTATTAAAAGTACCACTGAGTGATCACTGGAGGAAAGGAGACTGCTTCTTCGTGCTTTCAGCAACATTCTCCCAAGATGCATCTCTCAGCCTAGGCGCAGTCTGGACTGGCTGGAGCTCAAAACTGATTTTTTTTTTTTTAAAGGAAAAGAGTAATTTTAAGTTTTTAATGTTGCTGTACATCAGGGGGTCAGCAACCAGTAGATCTCGGCCTGGTGACTGGTAGATCGCAGTGTGGGCTTGTCGACCCGCCATCCCAGAGCATCAGAGTGCAGTGCAGAGGGACTACTTGTGAAGTTGGATCTGTAGTAGGGAGCAAGGGCCACGTATGTTGATGTCTTCTGATGAGCTGGTTCCTACGCCCTGTCATGGCTGGTGGGAGTTCAACCCATTCAAGTGAATGAAGCCGCTCTGCAAGTGCCCTGCAACCTTGTGCAGTACAGCAAACAAATGGTTAATCAGGCAGCGGTGTGTTGCTTTTTCACCATCTCCTTTAACCCCTTGGTTCCCGTGGAAGCATGCAGTTGTGGGGCTCTTTCAGAGTGGCCCCGTTTACTTGAAGGGGTCTCGACTGACAGGTAGTAGCGCCCACCAAAAACAACAAGGGGCGTAATTCCTGCTGCGGCATGTGTAGACAGCAGCTAAAGGGGTAGGGATTGGGGCCAGTAAAACTGTGACTCAACCACAGAGTTTTACCACCCCCAGGTGTGAGGAGGCGACACTGGCTGACACTGTGCCCGGTGATCTTTGACTTCACCCATGTTGTCCAGGTAGATTTCCACCTCCATTAAGGCTGCCTACCCCTGCTCTACACTGTGACATATTGGATGCTTATTCATGCAGACTTCTGATTGGTCCTCTGATGTTTCGGGTAAGGATCATTACTTTTCTGTTCCCTATGGTTATTTCCAGGACGGAAATCCAGTTACTGTCATTGGTGACATGTAGATACAGACAAGGACAATGCTCTCTTCATACATTTTACTGTAACTGAGAACCGAAACTTGTGCTGCCGCCATGCAAGCTCCGCCTTCCAGGGGCTGATTGTGGGATAGCGGAGTCCTGGAACAACCATCTTGGCTTCAGATTCAGATCCTTGCCATAGGGTGGAGCTCTGACTTCCAGGGGCCAGTTGTGGGACAGCAGAGTCCTACACAACCATCTTGACTTCATATTCACATCCTTGCCATAGGGTGGAGCTCTGCTGTCCCACAACTGGCCAATGGAAGACAGAGCTCCACCCTATGGCAAGGATGTGAATCTGAAATCAAGATGGTTGTTCCAGGACTCTGCTGTCCCACAACTGGCCCCTGGAAGTCAGAGCTCCACCCTATGGCAAGGATGTGAATCTGAAGTCAAGATGGTTGTTCCAGGACTCTGCTGTCCCACAACTGGCCAATGGAAGACAGAGTCCTGGAACAACCATCTTGACTTCAGATTCACATCCTTTCCATAGGGTGGAGCTCTGACTTCCAGGGGCCAGTTGTGGGACAGCAGAGTCCTGAACAACCATCTTGACTTCAGATTCACATCCTTTCTATAGGGTGGAGCTCTGACTTCCAGGGGCCAGTTGTGGGACAGCAGAGTCCTGGAACAACCATCTTGACTTCAGATTCACATCCTTTCCATAGGGTGGAGCTCTGACTTCCAGGGGCCAGTTGTGGGACAGCAGAGTCCTGGAACAACCATCTTGACTTCAGATTCACATCCTTTCCATAGGGTGGAGCTCTGACTTCCAGGGGCCAGTTGTGGGACAGCAGAATCCTGGAATGACAACCATCTTGACTTCAGATTCACATCCTTGCCATAGGGTGGAGCTCTGACTTCCTGAGCGCAGGTCACCTGTGAGTTTTTGGGGGATAGCAGCGTTCATGCCCAGTGCCAGGAAAATGTCCTTTAGATAGAACCCAGGGAGACAAGGCCTAAGTGCCCCCAAACACACGCTAGGGAAAAAAAAGGGTGCAAATTTCATCTTGGTTCGGCGTTGCATAACCGTGCAATTGTCAGTTAAAATAACGCAGCACCAGTCCACTCCTGGTATCAGGGTCGAGGGTTCTTGAGAGGAGTACTGAGGCCGGGTGCTGTGATCTTTCCAAGAAGCTGTGTTCAGCTCACTGCTGGCCCCTCCCATCTGCCAGGGACCGGCCTGCATTGCATAGAGAACCACAGAGGCCCAATGATCACTGGGTCTAAAATAAGAAATGTAATAAAAATGTTTTATTTCATAATTTATTTAGCATGTTGATTTGGGAGGGGGGGGGTGGGCAGGGAGGGCAAAATATAATCAGAGTTAAGCTTCAGCTTTAAGTAT